CCCCCCCCCCGCCTGCACCAGGTGAGCCCGGTTGGCTGGTCTATGGTTTGCAAGGCTGCTGTAATGAAGTTCCACAGACCGGGAGGATTTAACCACAGAAATGGATCTTTCCACAGCCCTGGAGGCCAGAAGTCCAAGGGGTTGACTCCTTCTGAGGCCCCGAGGGAGGGATCCGTCCAGGCCTCTCTCCCCGGCTTGCAGATGGCCGTCTTGTCCCTGTGTCTCTTCACGTCGTCTGTTTCCATGTGTGTCTGTGTCCAAACCTCCCCTTTTCAGGACACCAGTCCCCCTGGATGTAGGGCCCACCCTACTCCAGAGGGACCTCATCTGAACCAATGACATCTGCAATGAGCCTATTTCCAAATAAAGCCACAATCGGAGTCTCGGGGGAGTTAGGACTTCAGCATTTGAATTTGGGGAGGACACAGTTCAACCCGTACGAGGCGGGCATTCGCTCAGCCAGGCTGCCTCTGGCCGGTCCATTCCCCGGGAGGCAGCGCTAGGCAGCCTGGTGGTTGGGACCCTGGATTCTGGGACCCAGCAGCTCTCCGTCAAACCAGCTCTGTCCTTGTCAGGTGCAGCTTTGGCACCTTACCTATCTGATTCCTCGTTATGACAAAAGGATCACGGGAGTGTCTGAGAAAATGTGTGCAAGGCACTCGGCACTGAGCCTGGAACACACGGGGGTCCTCGGAAAGGCAGCTTTATTCAGCAAACATTCCTTGGGCGGATGCTGGGTGCCGGCCAGGATGACATTTAGGGGGCATGTTGGAGGCCGCACAGGGGCCTCTCACAGCCGGGGACAGACAGCGTGTGCTCACGGAGGGGGCCCAGATGGCTCGCCTTGTGGCCATCTCGGGCCTGTGCTCTGGAGATTCCAGGAGGTGAAGACAGGAGGGAAACTTCTTTTTTTTTTTTTTTTTTTTTTTTTTTTAATTTTTTTTTTTTCAACGTTTATTTATTTTTGGGACAGAGAGAGACAGAGCATGAACGGGGGAGGGGCAGAGAGAGAGGGAGACACAGAATCGGAAACAGGCTCCAGGCTCTGAGCCATCAGCCCAGAGCCTGACACGGGGCTCGAACTCACGGACCGCGAGATCGTGACCTGGCTGAAGTCGGACGCTTAACCGACTGCGCCACCCAGGCGCCCCAAGGAGGGAAACTTCTTGAGCTCTCTTCCCAACCCTGCAGTTCTCACAAGAACCCCCCACCCCCAGGGCTTCTGAGCTGACAACCACTACCCACAGCTCGCCTCTCACCCCACATAGCCTTGTTCACACTTTTCTCTAGAATGTTCGCCTCACCTGCCATCTCTCTGCCAACTCCTACTTGTCCCTTCTCTCTCTTTTTTTAAGTTTATTGGTTTATTTTGAGAGAGACAGAGAGAGTGAGCGGGGGAGGGGCAGAGAGAGAGAATCCCAAGCAGCCTCTGCCCTGTCAGCGCAGAGCCCAACGTGGGGCTGGAACTCACGAACCAGGAAATCATGACCTGAGCTGAAACGGAGAGCCCGACGCTTAACAGACTGAGCCACTCGGGCGCCCCGCCTGCTCGTCCTTTAAAACTCGATTCTGGCACCACCTCTTCTAGGAAGCCTTCCGGTAGTGGTAAGGCTGGATCAGTGTCCCTCCTTGTGCTCAGACTGCCTCCTGTAAAGTCAGACATGGGGAAACCACACGTCACTTTCTCTCTCCCCAGTTTACTGCCTGGTACGTAGAAGCTTCCCTTGACCTGCACTCCCCGTGCTGCTCTCTGGGGCGGCAGCCACGAGGGCCCG